GACATTTAATTCAATTTGTAGTGTTGGAGGGTTCAGTCCATGGCAAGCTGGCTCAAGGGGAGGAACATCATGGCAGAGGGCATGGTAGAATAAAGCTCCTAGTTAGTGGTTGCCAAAAAATGGGGCAAAGGAATAGTACCAAAGAGACCACTGACCAGATATATTACCTAGAGCCACACATCCATGACCAACCCAGACACACCAGAAGGGTGCTTTACTAATCCCCTAGGTGACTCACAAGCCCAACTTGACAATGCAGCTTAACCATCACAGAGTGTAAAGCTAATATCCTTATTATCTTGGACAACACAAGGATTTCAGAATGTTTTTATCTTTAATAATGATTATTTTTAATAATGATCAGCAAAAATTGGGCAATAAAGATCCCCAAAAGTTTGGGGCTGGGGATTTATTTACCTCAGTGGTTCCACCACCTGCCTTGTAAGCATAAGGTCCCGAGTTCGATCCCTGGTACAAAAAAAAATCTCCAAAAAGTTCTACCTTTAATAAAAGCAATTGAAACATTGTCAAAAATTATCAAAATAAACTTTTTCAGGATTCTTGAAATTAACCAAAGGTTGCAGCAAATGACTGAATGTTTTAAGAAAAGTGAACTTTGTGGCATTTTAATTTTCCTCATTTTCATTTCCCTGCCCTGATTGCATGATACCCTTGAAAGCAATCAGCCTGTGATTGTAAAAAACAGTGACTTGGCAGCTTCTAGAGAGGAAAGAACTAGGTTGAGGCTCCTTTAAAGCCTCACTCTCAGATAACCATCTTTTTTTGACCTGTCTGGTGATTCTCTATAGAACACTATCAAAAGGCAGTCATTATTTGATCTCACTCAATATTCATCCAATGTGCACAGTCTTTTTCCTGTGGACATTTGTTGAAAATGATCAGAAGTAGTGGTTCAATACTGTGGACTGCACGTAGTAGTGAATACCATGCAGTTAGAGCATGTGATGGGATAACTAAAAATCTTGAAAGGAGGGGCTGTGGAAAGACATTTCCATAAGTGACTTTGATGATCTCTATCATATTCCTTGGAATCTGGAAGGACACACTCATGCATAGGGAGGTGCACATCTCCAAGATGCATGTATGCTCAGAGAAAAGAGACTATCTAAGCTCTCATCTTTGAGTAACCTTGAGGTTCTGCACAAGAATTAATTGAAGGCTAAGAAAGTTTAAGATTGCCTCACTGAGTGTTGAAGCCATGCTCTATCACATAGAGCACTTCAGCAAAGTTGGAGAATTTATGGTACCAGCCATGTAAGGAAATCTTCATCTGATTAAGTCACAAACTCCTAAATTAGCTGAGCAGTGTATTTAGCGCCACACATGACAAAGGATAAATATTTTATAGAAGTAGTTTAGAAAACTCATTAAGCAAATAATAACCAAAAAAGCAAAAATTAATACAAAAACCCTCCAACAATTCACTCTGAGAAAAGGGAAGAATTTTACTTCCAGTATTGCCATGTTTCATTTTCTTAATGTCCTGCTTTCAACAATATTATGGTTTAGATCTAAAATTTCCACCAATCGCTTCTCGGCCTTTTGGCTAAGATCAAGTGTAAAATTTCCACCAAAGTCTCATGAGTTTGAAGGATGATTAGATCATGGTAGTGCTATATTCATCAGTGGATTCTTCCTTTTATGAGTTCAGTATCTGCATATGCTCTTAAGAGGTGGGGCCTGGTTAGAGGTGGGGCATTTATAACCTAGAAGAGTGTATTCTTGTCCTCTGTTCCCTTCTCTCTTTGCTCTTTGGCTGCCGTGGGTAGAACAGTGAGTTTTCCTTTGCCATGCCTTGCTACCATGATGTCTCTGCCTTGGAGCCAATGAACCATATACTAAATTCTCCTGAAAACCATCAGCCAAAATAAATCTTTCTTTCTTTAAGTTTTAGGTATCAGGTATTTTGTCCCCATAATGGGAAGGTGACTAATACAACAATAAGAAACAATAGAGTATATGCAAAGAAACAATAGAGTATAGCCCATACAGAGGAAAAAGAATATTCAGTAGAGACTGCCTCCAAAGAATCCTACATGCTAGGCTTATTAAATAAAGTCTTTAAATTAGCTAATTTAAATATGTTCAAAGTACTAAATAAGTTTTGTCTAAAGATGTTAGAGAAAATATAAGAATAATATCACAGCAAATATAGAATAAGGTGATGTAAATTATTAAAAAGAAATGGTGGTGTTGCAAAGAGCAGTGATTGAAATGAAAATTTTGCTTGCAGAACTCAACAGTAAATTTGGATAGAGGAAAAAAACAAAAAACAAAAAATAAAAGACAAAATCAGTATCCCAGAGACCTGTGAGCCACACAGCACACCAACATATAAAGCATACCACAAAAGAGTAAACCAAAAAAAGAGGTGGAGAAAAGGCAGAGAGAGTATTTAAAGAAAGGATAGCCCAAGACATCCCAAATTTGATGGAAGACATTAATCTGCACATCCAAAAATCTCAATGAGCTCCAAGTAGGACAAACTAAAGAGTCAGATCCAAGCTATCAAAAGACAGAGAATCTTGAAAGCTGCAAAATAAGCCACATCTAACTACTTGGAGACAGAGGCGGGGGATTACTTAAACTCAGGAGGTTGACACACCAGTCTTGAAAACATAGCAAGACCTGGTCTCATAAGAGAAGGGAAAGGAAGAGGAGAAAAAAAATAAAATAGGAAAAGAAAGGAAGAGAAGAGAAGGGAGAGAAGTGACTCATGACTCATGACTGATCATATACAAAGGATTCTCAATATAATAAACATGATCTGAATTCTTATCATCACAGTGCCTGCCTAGCAAGTGCAAGGCCCCAAGTTTGCCTCCTAGTAATCACCCCCCAAAATTTTGGGCCAGGGATGTAGGTTAGCAGCATGCACCTATGTAAATTCATATCACAAACTATGGAGGCCTAGGGATCACATACCAAATGATGAAAGATAAATTTGTCTATCAAGAATCCTGTATCCTTAAAAGGATACATCTACCTCTGAAAGATGAAAGAAGTATAAAACATTCCTGTATCAACAAAAGTGGAGAGAATGTGTTGCTATCAGGCCTGATCTATAAAACCACTAAAGGAAATTGTGATGGATAATTTTAGTGTCAACTTGACTGGGTTAAGGAATATCTGGAGAATTAGTAAATAATTATTTTTCAATGTGTCTGTGAGGGTATTTCTAGAGAGGATTAGCACCTGGGTCTGAGTGAACTAAATGGGGAAGTTCTAGCCTTGGTACAGGACAGGTAACATTCAGCTGACTAGATAGAGCAAAACAGAGGAAAAGCAAATTGATCTCTCCCTGGAGGTGGGATACACTCCTCTTCTGCCTTGGACATTAGAACTCCAGGCTATCTGGCCTCTGGATGCCAGAACATACCTTTACTCCGCCAGGTTCCCAGGCTTTTGACCTTGTATTGAGAGTTACATCACTGCTTCCCTGAGGGTTCTGTGCTTGGCCTGAGTCATACTTTTGGCATCCCTTGGGTCTCCAGCCTGAAGATAGCCTGTAATGGGATGTGCCCAGCCATCATGTGAGCCAATTCCCCTAATAAAAACCCTCTCATATATCTATATTCTCTTGATCCTGTCTCTCTGGACAACCTTGAATAATACAGGAGTCTTTCAGACTGAAGTAAAGTAACATAAAGTATAGCAGCAAAGGTAACTTCATAAGTAAACATAAAATACAGTATAAATGCAGTGCTTTGTTTGTAACTGTGTCTTCTGTCTGATTTAATATACAGTTGTGTAAAGCAATAGTTAGAAATCTGTCAATGCACATAAACTATATGATGATAACAACACAAAGGAGTGGAGAGAGACTGCAGTTCACAGGAAAAAGTTTTAATAGACTAAAATTAAATTGCTATGAATACAAAATAGATTATCGTAAGATGATAATTACAGAACTAGGAAAGACCTTTCCTGTCTCTCACCTTTTCTCCTTTCCTCTTTATTATCTCAAACTTGGAGGGGCCAGAAACCAAATCTACCTAAATAATGAGCAAAAAGAGGACAAAGTGGAGAAACAGACACCAACCAGAATTGTCTTTCCCACTGTAATCTGCCACTTGAGGAAGAAGGGAAAGTTTAATTTAAATAAACTTCATTTTAATGCACTTACTTGTTTTATCAATAAATTTACATTATTAAGTAGTATGGGACTTTTGTATATTTAGAAACTTTATGCGACTATTCTGTTGAGCAGGCAGGACTGTCTGTAACAGAATTAGCTTGTCAGTTAAGTTGCTTTTTGTTTTGGTATGGGGGATCGAACTTGGGTCCTTCTGCTTGTGAGGCAGGCAGTGGAACCACTGAGCCAAATCCCCAGCACAGTTAAGTTGCTTTTTGCTTAAAACCTAATGGATTCCTGGACCCTTAGCATCTGACTGCCTGGCATATTAGAAGGAGTTGTGAGGCCTCTGGAGGCAAACTGCTCAGGATATCACTCCCTACCAGCCGATGACCAGCCTTGGTTCTCTCATTTGCAAGATAGAGAGAAAAAAACCATCTGCCAGATGGGTTGTTGTGAAAACAGAATCAGATAATCCACACAAAATTCTTAGCATAGTGGTTTACATACATGCTGGTAGTGAGTACTAAATAAATGTTAGCTATTATCAGGTTTGTTGAAAGAATTGCATCTAAAAACTTCCCCTGGGCATGTTTATGCCTCAAGTACTCTGGGCCTCAAATAAAGTTTAACATCAAAGGCCTTTATTCTTTTCTCTCATCTAGTAAATCATAGAAAGAGACTGGGTTAATTGGCTTGAAACAGAGAGTGGTTTGCAGTGGTGAGAGTGTTTGAAGCAGTGGGATTTGATTCCTGCAATTGCCTTTTTCTAATCAGTATGGTTTTTCTTCTATCTGACAGCATTTCTGTGTGTCTTTTTTGTTTTTGAGAATATCTTGCTCCTGTTCTAGTATTTGCTTTGTATCTTTTATATTTTTCCTATTTTACTTTGTGAACAACACAGGAAACAAGAAAGAGAATGATAAATCACCATGGGATCTACAACCAACCTTTATCAACTATTACTATGTCACCTATTTCTTCAAAGTTAAATTTAAAAAAAAACACCAAAGACATGATTGAAGTCTTTAAGCCAGTATCTTCCCCAAAGATAACCTTCATCCTGAATTTCACATTTATTATTTGCATGCATTTTTTACACTTGTATTTAATGATTGTGTGTGTGTATATATATCCATAAAAGTTATAAGATCATTCTGCAATATTAAAAAGTTTATATAAATGATGTTGTCCTTATTACTTTAATGGATTATAACAACATTTAACTTTAATGAGTACATTTATCTGTCCTTTTGTTGATAGGTATTAAGTTTACTCCCTTTTTAAAAATTCTATTACAATCTTGCAATGTATGTGCTTGTCTGTGTCTCCTTGTGCACAAGTAAAAGGGATTCATGGACTCTGCAGTCTGAACACATTAATTAGGAAGGGCCTAAGGTTTATATCTAAAAGTGGAATTTTATGTGTTTGTCTTCAACTCTAACTTTTCTCACCTTGTTCCCCAAATGGGTGCACAAGTTTACCCTTCTACCAGCAATGTGTGAAACCTTTGGGCAGAGGGTGTAGCTCAGTGTTAGAGAGCTTGCCTAGTATTCAGAAGGCCCTGGGTTTGATCACTGGCTCTTCAAAATACAAAAACAAAAATCCCTTGTTTCTCCAATTCCTTGACAACATTGCCTTAGAATCAAGTATAGTATTCTAATCTCTGCCCACCTGATAAACATGGAAGGATATCTCATTGTTTTCATTTACAAACGATTGTTAGTATTAAACATATAGATTTACTAGTTTTAAGCACATAGAGTCATTACTATTCATTTTATTTTGTTTTGTTTTAGATAGGATCTTGCCCAGGCTGGACTTTAACTTGCAATCCTCCTGTTTCATTCAGTTCTAAATGTTTTACAGTTTATATTGTAATTTCTTCTCTAACTCATCAGTGATTTAGGAAAATATGTTGAAGTTTCAAAGCAGACGTTTAAAAAGTTATCTATTTTTGATTGATTTCTAATTCATTTGCATTATATTGCAAAAATTAGATCAAGTTAAAAATTTTTAAATGTTTCTTGTGTCTAGAAAAGATCAATTTGCCAACAGGGTGACCTCAAACCAAGTGATAAAAAGCCCCACTTAAGCAGTTTATAAAGGATAACAGAGGAAGTATTTTGACCTTTTAAAATGATTTTGATGTATATTAGCATTCTTTTTAAGGCAAGCAGAGCTGTGTAAGTAGATTATTCTATAGCTAATTGATTTAATTTCATTAGATTATGCTAAAAAGAAAATTATGTTTTGTTTATAATTAGAGCTTTTTGTCTCAAGGAAAAAATGATGAAAGTTTTAGTTATGTGGTTATGGGAAGTTGGTCTTGGGTATATCTAAACTGTGGCCTCCGTTTTTATTTTACTTCTATAGTTTCCTCCCTTCTTGTGGTAGACAGCTTTCCTGTCACTGAGATGATACATGACACTCACAATTAAAGGAGGACATGTTTCATTTTTCTCATAGCTTCGGGGAGTTCAGTCCCTGGTTGGCTGGCTCTAAGGTAAAAATACCATAGGAAGGGCCTGGGGGAGCAAAGCTGCTTCGTCTGTGGCAGCTGAAAAGCAGAGCAGTACCAGAGCGGAAATGTCTAGGGTCCAGATTACTCAAGGTCGCGTCTCTGTGACCCACCCATGCACATCCAGTGGCTTGCTTACTACTCTTCTAGGCAGCTCCCAAGCCAATCCAGTTGAAGGTTAGGCTTAACAGTCACTTTTGGTCATTCTCTCATTTGAACTGAATGACCAGCTCTTCAGTGCTCTTGTCAGTCACCACATGTGGTTGTAGACATCCACATGTCACACACCTTTATCAAAGGTTTCATTCAATAATTTTTTCCCTATAATTCTTGTTCAGGCCTCACTGAGGTAATTTGTTAAATTACTGGCTGCTGGCATTTAAAACTTTTTTTTTTAGCAAAACATTTATTGGTACATTTTAAATATATGTAATAATAACATTCATCATAGAAAATTTGTACCAGTACATGATGTATCTTGCTTCTTTTTTCCCCATCCCCACATGTGCAAAAGATTTGTTTCCATTTTTTTATTTTCTCTTTTTTTCTATCCCTTCTTTCCTTTTCCTCTCTCCCCTCTCTTCTATTCCCCTTCTCATTTGAACATTTTCTTCCTTTTTCACAATGTCTATTGTACATTTTAGTCCTTATTTCCACTTTCAGTTTCTCACACCAGAGAAACAATGCAGTGTTTAAACATGTATATTCAATTTATTTCACTTTAGAGTATGGTTTCAAGGTGCATCCATTTAACTATAAATATCTCAAGCTCATCCTTCTTTATGGCATAGTAGTACTCCACTGTATTTTTTAAAACTCCACATCTTTATCTATTTGTCAATTGATGAACATTTAAGCTGTTTCCAAGATTTAGCTATTATTAACTGAGCTGCTAAAAACATGGGTGTGCATCTATCACTATGGTAAGATGCTTTTAATTTTTTCAGGAAGATACCAAGAAGGGGAATAGCTGGGGGATCAAATGGAACCTCTGGTTTTAGTTCTTTGAGGAATCTCTACACTGATTTCCACAGTGGTTGCACCAGTCTACACTCCCACCAACAGTGGAGAAGGGTTTCTTTTTTCTCCTTTACCCCACAGATCCCGCCAGCATTTGTTATTGGTTGATTTCTTGATAACAGCCATTCTTTCTGGAATGAGATAGAATCTCAGTGTTATTTTTATTTGCATCTCACCAATGACAGTATTTATTTGCTATTTCTACTTCTTCATCTGAGAAATGTCTATTTGTTTCAGATGTCCATTTTTGAATTGGGTCTTTAAATTTGAGGGATCTGATTTTTTTGAGTTCTTTATATATTCTAAGTCCTTTGTCTGAGCAATAGCTGGCAAAAATTTTTCCCACCCTGTGCGTTGTCTCTTCACTCTGTTAGTGGTTTCTCTTGCTGTGCAAAAGCTCTTTAATAAGATGAGGTCCCAGTTGTTGATTCTTTATGATGGTTCCTGTCAGGTTGGGGTTTTGTTCATAAAGTCCTTGCCCTCACCAATGTCTTTGAGAGTTCTACCTATTCTGTCTTCCAGCAGATTGTTTCCATTTGAATATTTAGATCTTTGATCCATTTCAAGATTTGTGCATGGTGAAAAATATGGGTCTAGCTTTAATCTTTGGCATGTGGAAAGCCAGTTTTCCCAGCACTATTTATTAGTTAATTTATTTATTTTTGGTATGGGGGATTGAACTCAGGCGTTGTGCTTGTGAGTCAGGCATGGTGCCACTGAGCTAAATCCCTGACTTATTAAAGAGACTATCTTCCTTCCAGTGAAAGTGTTTTGCTCCTTTGTCAAAGATAAGGTGGCTGAGTATTTCCAGAGTTGTTCTGCATCTTCCAATCTGTTCCATTGATTCTCAGGTCTGTTTTTTTGGGTTTTTTTTTTTTTTTTTTTTTTTTTTTTGCTAGTACTAAAGCATTTAAAACTCTTGAGGGAATACAATGTACAGAGAGATTATCAATATGACTAATATGAAGATAATACCAGCTGGATGTGATGGTGCATACCTGTAATCCCAACACTCTGGGAGGTTGAGGCATGGGAATTTCAAGTTCAAGCAGCAAGATCCTGTTTCAAAAAAAAAAAAAAGATTAAAAGGGCTATGGATAGCTCAGTGAAAAAGTCCTGGATTCAACCTTCAGTATAATAATAATAATAATAATAATAATAATAATAATGATAATAATGCCAAGAGTTTGAACAATAGCCTAAACCAAGGTCCACAAGAACCAAGATTCAATCAACTAAATAGATCAGTTAATTGTGTTTCTATAATCTGGTCTAATATCCTGATGTGATCTTTTAGGTCTCTTAAGATTTTGGGTTGCAATTCCTGATTTATTGACATAGAAATATCATTTTCTTTCAATGTAGTTTTTTTGTTTTTCAGTTTTTGGCTTTTTTGTATTGGGGATCGTACTCAGGACCTTGTGCTTGCAAGGGAGATGCCGTTCAACTGAGCTAAATCCCCGACATTCTGCAATATAGATTTTTTTGTTGTTTTTTTGTTTGTTTGTTTTGTTTTTTTGTTTGTTTTTTTGAGACAGGGTCTCACTATGTACTTTAGACTCACCTGGAACTCACTGTGTAGCCCATACTGGTCTTGAACTCACAGTGATCTTCCTGCCTCAGCCTCCCAAGTGCTGGGACTTCAGTTATGCACCAGCACCCCCAGCTTTTCAATATAGTTTTAATCAAAGGATTTTTCCTGCTTCGCATATAGGATCTCTGGTGATATCAGGTGTCCAGTGAGTTTTTTGTGTAGCAGCTGCAGGCCCAAATGCTATTCATATGTGAACTGCTCTGGTGGTTTCCCTGAAGTTTTTGACAAGTTTTCCAGCCTCATTTATAGCATTAGTTTGGGAACAACTGTAGTTCAGGGTTATCAGAAACCTGTATTTGTCAGGCTTCTATGAATTTCTTCTAATTTTGTATCATAGCTGCTTGCAAAAGCTTTTAGGAAATCATCAGAGTAGAACAGTCACAGTTGCTGGAATGAAAAAAGACCTTAAATGTCCATGAGAATTCATTTTAATGCAATTGACAAAAAAATTGCTTATTTATGTGATATACAACATTTTAAGATAACTAGAATTATAGCTGATATAATGTGGCAGTAAGAACACTGGCAATTTTAAGGAAGTTTATGCAATTTTTGTAGTATGTTTTAACACATACGGTATACATAAATATAACTTAAGGGAGATTAGCATTCTTTTTTTCTTTGCATTGCTGGGAATTGAATCCAGGGTCTTATGCACGCTACACAGGTAAGCGACACCCCAAGCCCTTTTGAATTTCATTTTAGACAGTGCCAAACAACATTGCCCAGGCTGGGCTCAAACTTGCAGCCCGCCTGCCCCAGACTCTCAAGTAGCTGTGGTTACAGGCATGTACCACTGTGCTGGTTAGCATTACTTTTTACTTGACAATGTTTCCCACTTAATTTAACAAATTAAATAAATGTAAT